AACTCCTGGGCTCAAGCGAGTCTCCTGCCTCTGCCTCCCAAGTAGCTGGGACTACAGGCGCCCGCCACAACACCTGGCCATATTTTTTTGGTTGCAGCCGTCATTGTTGTTTGGCGGGCCCGGGCTGGGGATACGAACCCGCCACCTTAGGTGTATGTGGCTGGCCCCTTAGCCGCTTGAGCCACAGGCGCCGAGCCGACACTCTGTCTTAAAGGAAAAATGAAGGTCCTCCAAAATGTGAGGACAAGGAGCTTGGCTGTTACTTCATGGACTCTTGGGGAGCTGTGCAGGCTTACTGAGGTGACTTGGAGTACTGGAGTTGGGCTGGCCTAGAGTTGGGTGGTGGCCTGGGCTGGGCGTGGAGTCTACAGCGCCACCTGGTGCCCAGCTCTCTCACCATGGAGTGACCTTGCCTGGCTCTGCAACTTGGGATAGACTAGGGCAAGCCTGTGCCCCAGGACCAGTTCCAGAACCACTCTCCACCTCCTCCCAAAGCAGCCAGGCTCTAGGATCAAGGGCTAACATCCTATGCAGTGCCAGTTTCCTGCTGGACGCCTTGCCTGCCCTTTCTGGCCATAGCTCCTGTCTGGGCATGAGGAGCCTTTGGTCTCATGATCCAGCCCTCACTCATTGTAGGTAGGCCACACTGTGGTTGCACTCCTAAAGCAGGTCAACAGCTCCCTTAGGCTTTGGGGAACTTTGCTGGAATGTTCCCTTCTTAGAGCTTCCTTTATCCCTACCACCACTCACCTCCTCCCTGGGGTCCCCTTAGGGCTGTACAGTTCTTCACTGCATGTTAGGAGAACAATACAAGGTACCAGAGAGCACCTGTGTCTTCAAATGCACAGAAACATCTATAAGGAGGGGCACAAAATAGCGGTGGTATCTTAGAATGATGGGAATTTCAAGGGATTTTTTTCCTTTCATCTTTGCATTTTATCGTTTTTATTGTTTGCTTAAATTTTCTGAATACATAGTATCTTTATACTCTTTATTTTCATTAAAGAAAAACAAATTAAGAAATCTCAGCACACCCCAAATCAAAGCTGGAGCAGCCCAGTAACAGCTCCCAAAGGCAGAAGTGGCTGACAATGGTGCAGTGGTCCCCATAACTGCTTTAACATGCTTCACAGGGGCTGCTTCACATATACCGTCCCAACTCCTGCACTTTAAGTTTTTGGAGGGTCAGGCCCAAACTCATTTCCAGGGCTTCTCCATAGATTGACACAGGTTGCCCCCCAGTCCCATCCAGCCCTATCATTATCATGCTTCCCATGACCCTCCAACCCCCAGCCCCCACACCTTCTGCTATCCCCTTTGCTCTCATGCTCTCCACTCTGCCTCCTCTCTGGCCCACCCTCCAGTGTTCCCTTCTCTGGATGTTCCCTCTGCCTAGATGACACTCCTCTCAGATCTGTGCTTATCATTTCATCCGCACATTAACTGTCACTTCAGAGAAGCCTCCCCTGACCTCCAAACACATATTCCTTGGCGATATGGCTGCCTGGTTTTCTCTCTTTTTTTTTGAGACAGAGCCTCAAGCTGTCCCCCTGGGTAGACTGCCGTAGCATCACAGCTCACAGCAATCTCTGACTCCTGGGCTCAAGCGAGTCTCCTGCCTCTGCCTCCCAAGTAGCTAGGACT